TAGAGAGAAGAGAGAGGCGACATCACCGAATATATATATATATATATATATATATATATATATGTATGTATGTATACATATGTATACATATGTATAAACGAGGCGACGTCGCCGAATTATATATATATATACTGAGCGGTATACCGAACGGTATATTGTATCGTACCGTATTGAGCGAATGTCGAAATGCCAGTACGATATGATATTTCAAATCTTGCTATTCTGAGTGTTTTCTAGTTGTTATTGTGCTTTGTCATCATGTGCGTTAGCAAGCAATGTTCTGCATTATAGTGATCTTTTCCTTACCATATTACAAGAAATTGATACTATAATGAAAAGAATTTGATAACTGTTATTGATGCATATCTTAATGGGTATTTCTCTAGAAAATGAAAACTTTTGTTGTTTATTTTCTGGATTCTTGTTTTTGGTTAGGTTTAAATGGTAGTATGCTTATAGATTTTGTATATATTGTTATATTGTCATATCGTTTTAGAGTTTGCAGTCATTGACGCTTGACATTAAGTGGCAAACAGAAACTTGTATGTACTCTAGAAGACTGATTTCTATCATTTGTTGCTTTTCCTATTTGTTTGCCTTTTTCATTTCTCTTCTGTTCTTCTCATGATAGGATTTCTGTTAATGCCTCCTAACGTTGCTCTGAGGTTTTATAGGATATTTTGGTAATTAGGATACCACTTGGATATTTTAAATTGTTAGCTATGATCTCTAAGGGTTTCTAGATAGGGTCACAACACATTTAGTTTCCTGAGTAGGTAATATTAATGTTTTCTAAGATAAAGTTGCTACCATATTGGGTCTAATCACTGCTTACAGTTCATAATCTTGTTATTTACTGGCATGAGTAATTGAATTTGATTCCTCACTATTTAGGCAACTTTGCATGGAGAAGTTCTCCATATGGCTGGGCAGTTGGGGCTGGATCCCCCAACAATGACACTTTGTTCAGGAGGTCCGGCTATTGAAATAGAGCAAGCACTACTAAACAGCGAGGCCATAGCTAATTGCTTCAACAGCTCCCTTGTTTCCTGTGCAATTCTTTTGACAGTATATTGTGCTGCCTCTCTCACATTCTGTGAGAGAACTGAAATTCAGCACAAAATGGAATCTTTCTTTGATGACGACTCTGATTCGATCGATGTGAAAAGAGTGGCCAGCCCAATTTTCTTATATATTCTTGCACCTGCTCTTCCCAAAGGGTGTGATTACTTGTCATAACTGTATATTCTTTATTGCATGTTGTGTTCATCGTTTATGACATTGAACTGTTTTGCAGAGCTCTTGTTGAAGTAAAACCTGTTCTCTACATTCCAGAAAACGGAGATTATGGAATTGGAAATAATTTGCTAGGATCAGATAGCAAAGAAATGGTTTGGGATTTTCAGACTTACACCATCAGTGGAAAGATTTGTGCGGCCTTAGTTTCTATTACAAAAGATGTGGCAGCAAAGATCTGCCCTAATACTGAACCAGAACTTATCTCTGGCGATCACATAAGAGTGATTGCAAAGTTTTGTGTCTTTCTTGTCAATAAGGTCCTTTTGGACAACTATTTATTTTGGGGAGATTTGATGGTAAGATTCTCACTAAAATGAAATTGCCTTTGGACTTGCTTCTGGTACTTGGTTTTACAGTTTGGAGCCTGTAATTAGCATCAGTAGTCTCACTTAGGTTATTAATTGAAGTAAAAATATCTTTTAATTAGATAAGACTGATATTAATATTTTGTTCTATTTGATGACTTTGATTATTTAGATAGCAAATGTTCTGCTGAAGAACAAGAATTTTTGCTAATTATGGTTTACTCCTATTTTTAGAGTAGCAATCCAAAATCTGTTGAATTCCTTTCGATCCAGCGGCTTTTGACCTCTTAGGTCATGTGCACTTTTTGAAGAAATAATGTCAGAATAAAATCTGCTGAACATTTCTCTAAACGCTGGATATGCAGTTTCAGACTAATGCAGCCTTACCTCAAAATGCTAGGAGGCCTTTTCTTTCTTTGCACCAATAACATAGGTAACCATGATATAACTTCTTGTTTGATTGGAAAAGTTCTATGGGGCTTTATTGCTGTATGGAAAAGGGGCAGTTTCAAATTAATGTTGCCTCACCTCCGAAATGCTATGAGGCTTTATTTTTTTCACTGGTATCACCGCAAAATAACTATACCTTCTTGTTTGATTGGATAAGTTCTTTAGGACTCTATTGCTCTATGGAAAGGGTTTTTCATAACAGTGAACATTGCTTTCTGACTAGCTGTTGAAACCTATATTCATTTTTCACTTGGTGATCTTGAGAATTATTTCTTCTCCCCTCCTTTATCATTTGGAGTACTTTCAGTCCCATCAGACCACTCTATCATCGCCTGGTAGTTTCATATGGACTTTATTTTTTAAAATTGGTAACTTCTTTCATTGGTACAATTTCCAGTTGATTGGGAAAACTTGTTGATGTGTTTATTTTTCTTATTAGAAGTTTACACATATGATTGTTCTGCACAATAATTATGACCTCTTCTTTTTTCTTTGATTTTAGACTATCATTTGTCCTCTCATTTCAAGATGTAACCTTGTTTAGGTTTTGATCTAGCCTTTTGAACTACAAGTTACAATTGGTTTCTCATTGAACCCAATTTTGTCTAGGACTTCGCAACTAAATGTAGAGAACATCATAAACTGACTCCCTGGACTTGGCTTCAATTGGTAGCACTTTACCATGCTTCCATCATTTAATTGAACTAAATGTAAATAATCGTAGAATCTTAGAAGGCCATTAGGCCTATTTTTTTATTATCATGCTTCCCTTCTTATGTTACATGTGATTTTTTTAACATAGTGAACCAGGGAGGATATAGTCAGTTTGAGAAAATTTATAATACAATGAACTGAATTTTCTTCATGACTTGGAAATGTTTGTGTAATTTTCTGTTGATGATATAGGAAGGAGATTGAAACTTCTGCAATATATAATATTTTCTGTTGTAAATCTGAGAAAACCATCATTATACGTGTCTGTTTCCCTTCTCCCCATGATATGATCACATAAAACATAAGACTAGTTGCATAGATATTATTAAATTACTGTGCAGTGGATCTGTGTTGTTTTAGTGCTGATTTATTTGCCATAGTGTTTTCAAAAGTGCTAGCCACCAAAGGCACTATGGTGCCACGCTTGAGGTACTAGGTGCTCACCTACGTGTTCGCCCAAGCGAAACGAGGCGCTCCCAAGTATTAAAATTTTAAAAAATGTATTGTGATTGATAAATATGATCATATAACAAAGCTGTTGTTAGTTATAAACTGAGAAAGAGGAGGAGATGGAGAAGTAATTGATGGAGGAAGGTGGTGGTTAGTTCGAAGGAAAGTGGCAACTGACAGCAAAATGAAGCTGGTCGACACAAACGACAGATAAACGAAGCTACAAATGGTGGCATAGGGTGGAGGTGGCTCGTGGTCTAACAGCATAGGGCAAAGGAGGCTTGCAGTTCGATGACATAGGGAGGAAGAGGCTCGTGGTCAAGCAGCGTATATTGGAGGAAGCCCACGGTTTGGTGATGTGGGTTGAAGCTTGCGATCCGACGATGTAGGGCAGAGGAAGCTTGTGATCCGGTAGCGTAGGGCGAAGGTGGCTTGCCATAGGGCGAATGCAGCTCACGGTAGGGTTTCTGATTCCTTACACTAGGTCAGGTGCAAGGAGGGCGAGGGGAGTAGTGTTGTGCTGTGATTAGTTGGTTAAGTTGAGCCAACTATGTGAAATTGATTGAACCTGGACTCGATTGAATCAGGTGCATGCCTGAGTCACCTAGCGCCTAGGCTCAAGCACATGCCAGAGTGGCACCTCTTTTAAATGCCTCACCTGGAAATGTTACGAGGCAAGCTCGCTTAGGTGAGAGTCCAAGCGCCTTTTGAAAAAATTGGTATGCGACAAACTGTACCAGCCATAGTGAGATGAAACATAAATTGTTAATTTACGAGGCAAGCTCGCTTCGGTGAGAGTCCAAGCGCCTTTTGAAAAAATTGGTATGCCACAAACTGTACCAGTCATTGTGTTTTACATCAGAAATATTTATGTTGTGTGCATATGATTAGCCATTAGTACCTAAATATAACTAAAGGCTATTTATCTAAACACATAATAATGAAAATGTGCTCATCTTGTCTTTTTTTTGGTTCAAATTCTGCTTTGTATAGCATCCCAATTGCATAGAAGCAGGCTCTGTTCTAAACTATGAACCTCAGTGCGCTTTTAATTTAGTCTAGTGTAAACTTTTTCTTGATTCATTGTTCTTTTTCTTGGGCTCCCTTTTCTTTTCCTTTAGAATTATTTCATAAATCTAAATGGAATTCTTTAATGTGCAGCACTTGAAGTTCTACTACACAGCATATCTTTCCATGACAGCGGAGACCCTAAATCTCATATTTTATGAGGTCTTTGCAGCATTTGCAGAGGACAGCAAAAGTTTTGAGATGGGGAAGGAGCCAATCTTTAGTCTCATTCCAGTGCTGAGCTCAGGTAGATCTGCATCTATGGAGGACATAATCACCTGTGAGCTGTTTGCGTCAAAGCTCTGAATTGGTGCGACTGCATAATCTGTGAAATCCAAAGCTGTTTCTGTGGAATGTCATGGGTCAGGCTGCATGTTATGTGCATTACTTGCATGTAATATCGAAAAGTTGGACTACTTTGGACTCGACGTCACTTATTTTCTCAGACTACTGGAACTGCTGCTCCAACAAAGAATCAGCTTTGGAGGATAAGAGAACAGCCTGCATGACAAGCAATTCATTTAAAGCTTAAAGCTGCAGTATGTTACCAGCAATGGTTACTGCATATAGGGGAAAGAGATATCAGAGGGATATCAGCATCTAATTGCAAGGCTCTCAAAATGCAGCACAGGCTTAGTTTTGCAATGCAGCTTTTGCTTCTCATGTGAAACTTGTGGTTTTTGCCTTGACATCATCTGTACCCTTGAATTATGCTTCCATTGCCTATTTTTCTTTTTGAATTCATCTCATAATTAATATCTATATTTGATTTAAGTGGATTGGGTAAATTATGGGCATCCCAATAAATCCAATCTCCTGTTATCTCTTCTTCCAAGCATTGATTGAGCTGGAGAATGAGTAACGGGTCAATGGGCCGAGTTGCTGTTGGGTGATTCGGACAAATGTTTTGTTCAGCCAAACATTTTTTGTTTCAATCGGCAAGATGTAATCAAATTCATTTCAAGTCTAATTTTTGTTTGATAAAAGTTGTAAGTGATCATTAGACTTATTCAAGATATTTCTTTTGGTTTTATTTTCATAGATTTGATATAAGATTTACTTTAACCTTTTATTCTTTCTTGGATGGAATTTTTAAATTTTATTTTAATAAATTTTTTGATATTTTTATTTTGGTTAATTTTTTTATAATAAATATAAAAGAGTGATTTTGGAAAGATAATATAAATTTTATATGTATGAAAAGATAACACAAGTTTTGGAAAGAATAAGGTTCTAGATTTGATGGTATAATAAAATTTTTTTTGATTCATTAATATCTAATCAGAAAGTTTCATATGGTATAATAAACTTTTTTTATTCATTTTTATCCAATTAAAATGTCTTTTAAAGCGTAATCGTCAGTTCATTAGCAACAAGGTGTCACATTGGCAAATCAGTATATATATTTTTAATAAAATATGAAGATACACTACGGCGCGGTTATTTCAGTTGAGTCGAATCACAGGACGTCGTCATCACGGTCCAATTCGTGACTTGAGTCCCGACCATGGGGTGGCTCGGGTCTCCACCTTCCTACCAACGCTGTGGATGGAAGTCGTTAATGTATTCAATGCAGCATCAGGGTTTGATCACAGTACACTTTCACCACGGCCATCGTTTTGCCGATGGTTAAAGAAAGATGAACAGTCTGTTAAGCAGCTACAGAGAGCAATAAGAAACAGAAGCAAAAATGAGACAATCGTTGATCATGCATCAAATCCACGAGGATATCACAAACCGATGCGCCTTCCACGGCTCAACTCTATAATAATTGTAGGCTGAGGTAGTACTCAATATGATAATTTTCAGTGCAAAAGGTGCATGACAATATCATAAGAGGACTTCATTAATTAATGGGCGTGATTAGCCCAATAACCCTTCCAAACCTGTTAGCTACATTGATACTGCATACTGCTAATAACTTCGAGACTTCGGTGCTGTATTCTTGAATCTGACAGTGATGTTTCTTGCTGCACAACTCTACTTTCAGGAGTTTCAATCCTTGATCAGCACTAAGCACATCATTAGTATAAGCATGCTGCTTAATTTTGAGCTTGTACTTGCTGAAACAATCTTCACATCGTTCTGCTAGGTTAAGATATATTAAGATTTTAATTAAGATTATCTATCAATAGATTATAAATTTATTTATGTTAGGATATCTTAGGAGATGGTAAAAATTCTCCACATTTCTCTAATTTCTTTTGTGTGTGTGTATATATATATATATATATATATATATATATATATATATATATATA